AGCGTCTCAGCAGCTCCTGCAGACATGCCAACGGCCTTGACTTTGGGACGGGTCATTTATTTCTTTGATAGCTAGGTAGGCATTTGTTTGAAAGGCAGGTGCTTGCAAAAAAATGACGTTTTGAGCTCAAAGAATTGAAATGCTGACCCATAGCTGCATATCTGCCTACGGGTTTATACCCAACAAAATTGTACTGACTACAATGATCACAAAGGAGATGCAAAAATATTTCAGCAAGCAAGTTCAACAACCAGCACCCCTTCACCTGCTGTCCTCGGCTGGCAGGTCTGCTATTTTTGGGCAGCAGTCTTTCAGCATGCCGCGAAAGGGCTGCGAATCGAAGTATGCCAAGACCTGGCAAAAATCCCGCGCTGGGCAACTGCTCGTGACGGGGCGCAAACTTAAAAACCAGGCCTGCCTGTCAAAAAATTGCATCCCATTCCAAGAGGATCGGGGCCGATCTGTGGCTTCTGATCCACGAAGCTTTTGATATCTCTTGATCATCCTGCTCCATCTGCCACTCGCGAAAAGGAAATCATCACAAAGGACAAATGATTACTGCTGTATCTGCCCCCAAGCAAATGTAGGAACACATACCCAACACCAAAGAAGGAAGGAAAAGTTCCCCTCCCAACCATCCAGGTGTTTGTGGCATCATAAAGACATCCCCTGCCTGAGGTGTAGCTGCCAAGCTGGCATCCCTGGCCCTGGCACGGATGCGCTGGAAGTTGCCTTAGATCTCACCCTGAGCCACTGGGGATCATCCCATGGTCATCCCAGGGATGGACTGGAAAAAATGAAACCACCAGCGAAATAATTGATTTATGTTGATTTATAAGAGGGACATTTGGAAACCCATAGGTTTTTCATTATCGAGCTAAGATGAGCTAAGCATTTCCTGACTTCCTTGTCGGATCTTTGTGGTCATTGCCACTCATCAAAGCTGATCCTAAGCCTGTATCTCAAGAATTCCACTTCACTTTAATTTTATTGCACTGGACAACAGGCGTTTACAACAAAAACAGCCATGTAATGGCTAGGTTGTAGGAAGTCCGTCTGGCAGAATGCCACATTCTGCGAAATGAGTAGCTGAAACTTCACAACCAACAGCCGGGGTAAAGCTGCTTGCTGCAACTTTCCACCTGCAATCAAATGATCCCCGATACAATGGCGTAAAAGAAAAAACTATAGCTGAGGCTGTGACTCCCACTCCCTGTAGCTTTTTCCCGGGGTTGATTAGGATCAAAAGTTACACCATGCCATGTAGAAAATCCTGGAGGCCCATCATGGTCTCCTGCCCCTCTCAATCCCATCAGTTCCGGGCACTGATCTGCTCAGCAGTCTGCTCCGGTGGTGTGGGAAAAGGCTCCAACCCCAACACCGAGCCCAGCAGTGCTGGCAGCAGCCAGCGCGCCATAGCACCGACACAGCAGAGACCTCTGAGATCGGCACCGCCTAGAGAGGCAACCCCACGGCCAGCAAGCCAATTGGGCGGCGTGAAGGTGAGGGTTCTGGCAAACTGTTTCAACTCATGAAACATGGGAATGGAATGGAATGGAAGTATGATGAAAACATGAGGAGATCAACCAATGAAAAGAGGGATTGGAATGATTGGAATAAAGCAAGAGAAAGTAGCCACCCTGAAAAATAGGAAAGCCATTGGGGTCTTCATCCCGGGGAGGGATGGAATGTTGTTCAGCGGGATGCCCCAGAACCGGTCCAAATTTGTCCTGGCTAATTGGAGGCAGGAAACTTGCAATGGAATTGTCTCCAAATGGGACCTCCCCAATTCCAATGGATGATCATGATGTTCCATATGTTTCATTGCCAGTGGGGTGATATACCCCAATTTCAAACCAACCCAAATGTCTCACCTATCCAAGGCATCCAGCCAGTAGTCATCAGCTTTTCCCATACTTGCTAGGTCTTTGGTGCCATGGCAGCAGGCAGCATCCAGAGCTGAAGAGCTCTAGCAGTCCCAAAAACAGCAAAAACCAAGACCAATCCATGCTTTTCAGTAAGAAAGCCACGTGTAATGGCAAAACATATAAATAGCAAATAGCCAAGTTTGCACATCATCCACCAAAACTCTCAATCTCTGGACGCAACTTGACTTTGGAAACTGCTTGGCAAGCTAAAAGCTGTAGAAAATTAGGAAATCAGCGATTTCACTAAAAGAAGCGAAAAGCTGAGGCCGTGCAGTAAAATCTCCGCAGGCAAAAGCAATGTACAAATACCACGACCCAACCGGAATTGAAATTTGACTCTATCATCAAATAAAGTTAACCATCATCAATCAGTAACCAATAATTTTTATTCAATAAATAAAAGGTTAAGAACACGGCAGCGTATAATAGCGAACCGAATATCACCAATGATACGGGTGTATTGGGGCTATTCATGATATTTGGAACTCGCAACGTCTCGCAACCACGCCATGTCTGTCTCGCTGGGGCGAAGCTCATAATGCTTTCACCATCCGTCTTCACGTGACGAAAACTGAGAGTTCCTACTGATTCCCAGCGAGGTTTGGATTGCTTTGAGGCTTCAATTCGACAACGGCACACTACCAGGTTGTGCGGAGCAGTAACATTGGGTCCTGGGTTGAAATCGCTGGAGCCGCATTGCGGCCCTTTTTTTGCCTGGGCATCCAATGGTTTGCCCTACAGCATAAGTGAAAAATAATGGCGTGACCAAGGGACTCCCTTAAGGAGCAAGAATGGTCAAACTATGGGAAATGGTTCGGTGTCGAAGTTCTTTGCGGCCTTCAAGAGTGAAAAATCTGGGTGTGAGATAAAGGCACCTTGTCACATCCTGATAAAGATGCGCGGCGCTCTGTTCCCTGCGCTGTGAACGCCCACCCAAGAGCTGGCAAATCTGGGAAGTCATTGCTTGCTGAACACAGTGATGAGAATCACCCCCAGCAACTGGAGGGCTTCAGCAGTCCAGTAGATCCTCGGAACTGAGGGGCGAAATCCTCTAGGTCCCCCATAGAAATAGCACCCAATATGCCACTAACAAGGGTGGATGATGGTTAATACTCTCCCCAGGATTCACATGATCCAAGTAGCGAAGCTAAGCCCATCATCAGCGTATGAGCCAGTGTTGGGGTACCTAAAACTGGAGGCTTAAGAGGCTCAAAAATGACCAACCGCCCTGGTCCCTTGGCTCTCAAATTTTGCCTCACCAGCTGATTCCGCATCATCCCCAGCTGCATTGGAGCCCATCCCAGTCGATCCCAGCGGCATCAGCTGACGTCGCCCGGTGATTTCTTTGAACCAACAAATGGAGACGATGCTGGCGATGATGATGGGTCCCACCGCGTCCAGGGTGTAACCAACGGCAAAGCCCAACCTGCCACGACACTGGGAGCAAATACAATGATTTAAGGAGCCTTGGGTCAAAATTTTGGTCTGAGAATTGCCCAACTTTCCCAAAACTGTTGAATTTTGGCATCACAGCAGGTTGAGCCAAGGAGCTCATGGATCCCTTTGATCATGAAGAGAAATCCGACTGACCAGATGCAGCCACTGACAAAGGCGGGCCGGATCACCGCGTGCTGCACAGGCTTACGGCGCACTTGCGCGTAGCCGCTGTAGAGGAGGTAGATGCCCTCAGTTGGAACAAAGGCAGGGACAGTCAAATTAGAGAACTGTGCATTGAAATGCCTTGAATTCTGTATATATATATGGTTTTGGCAGAGCCGAACCACCATCCTGATTCTCTTGCTGTGATCCCTGAGGAGAATTTTGTGCAACATCTTCTCTCTCCGCAACATAAAAAAGAGTGGAGGCCCCAGAACTGGACAATGTATCAGCCATGAGCAGCATAAGCAAACCAACAAATTTCGCCGTCAGGGGCGTTTCCAGCACTTAGCAACATGCTATCTTCTCAGTCGAGTTGCTGTTGATGCAAACCAAACACCCACGCACTGTGGAAAGACGACAGCAGTGGATGGATACTCCGGATGCTCCTTGGCAAAAAATGGGTTGTGCTTCTGACTGCAGAAATGCCGGAAATCGCCTTGGTGACCTTGCTTCATCAACAGGCTCATGATTGGCACATCATCCCACATCATCCCACATCATCCCACAGCAAAATTCGAGTCACATTTCACAGCCACACAGCACATCTTAGCACATCTCCAGATATCTCCAAGCATTCTCCAAGCATTCTCCAAGCATTCTCCAGGTAGCCGGGCTTAGCCAGGTGCCCAAAAAATCACCACGACGCCACCAAGGCTCCAAGTTGTACAACGTGGCCGGCACGCTCTGCACACCCGCCAAGGTGCCGGCCACAACGGCCTGGCCCAATTCATCCATCCCCAGGTTCCATTTTAGGATGAAAATCTATGGACACCATTTGAAACCCTATGATTAATTATGTTTAATCGTTTAACCTATGGTTTCTGGGGGACCCCCCATTTTCGTAGAAACCTCCCCACTTGGAAAAGTGATGCAGTGACTAGCAATGACCGTCCCTTCACGATATCGCAACAGATCCCAAACAATCCGCCGCGCCAGAAGAACACCCAAAGCGCAGTTGCGACAAGGCTTCCTGACAGAAGAAACTGTCACTGTTGCGCAACATCATTCCATTATACTGATTGGTTAATAAAGATTAGGTCTCTATCCCTATAAATATATATATCTCTCTCTCTCGAAATGTTGTGAATCAACTCAAAGAGTTGCCTCTCTCCGCATCTTCCTTCACCACGTTCGGTGAAAAAAAAACTTGACACAAACCATACAACATCAACAAAAAGTGGTGTCCACCAAACATGTTTGGTCCCTCTATGGGATATTTATCTTGAGATATGTTCCACATCACATCTCCAACACGTCATCCATTGACCAACAATTCACCAACAAACGTGGTCCTCGTCTCGGACTCAACTTCCGGGGGTGCCTCAGTCTCTGGATTTTGCGGCTCCTGATAGGTCCGCCGGTTGCCAGGTGGGCATCAGTCTGTGTAGTTTGTTGGGGAGGTTTTTTGTTGCCAAAACTGACATCTAGAAATCCATGCAACATCAAATACAATTAAAAAAACATTGAATCTATACCATTCTATACCACTTACTCTGCCCCAAACAAATCTGATCAATACTTTAAGCTCCAAAATGGCACTAGGCCATGCCCGATCCTCACATTTGCTGGCATCAGAATCACTGGTGAATCAGTTGAGCGCTGTGGATCCAGGATTTCCCACCAGGCAACTCAATCCCCCGTGAGCCACGATCCAAAAAAAAACAATGTGGTGAAATGTCATGTTGGTATATGTTTGTATATGCCATAGTATATCATCTTATATCCATAAAAGGCCCAGGAATTTTCATCAATGCCAAACTTTTGGTCCTCCAGCTGTTCCTCCTCCAAAGCGAAGGCGGAAAACGCGCTGGACTCCAGAAGGTGCGAATTCCTGGTCCCGGACAACGAGATGATCTGGGATGCCCCTTGGGAGCAGAGTCATCTTGACGTCATTGGTGCATCAAACTCGGTGCATCAAACTGGAGTCACATCTTGCAAGCCTTAGATTTTTACAATGCTTCGACGCTGTCTGACCCGTGTGTAATCTCAACATATCTCAACCAAGGTGAGGGAGGCACCAGGTGGCCTGTCACCAGCTGCATCCTCATCGTACTGCTCATCAATCCGGATTTTGCCATGAACCTGAAGAACATCCAAAACTGAAACATCTGTGAATCTGTGGCATATCTTCCACTGACATCCAAAAATGAGGGAATCCCAAAGCACAAACCACCGAATTTCGGGACATCTCATGAATCTTCGGCCCAGGTACTGTTGGCTCAGGGCCTTTGGAGTCGCTCTGTTCCTTCTTCTCGCTGCCTTTACCTTCCACTAAAAGGAGGGCAACCTCAGCTGGCCAGTTGGAATGGTATGGCACCCAGGGTTTGATGAACATTCACAAGTCTCGCAATTGCCTGTGTGGGGTGCAAACCCAGAAGTAGACTAAGAAAATGTGGCGAAAAAATACATATATACATTCGACAGAATACATCAGATCGCGCACATATGTTGAATTTATATTTAAATGTTTTCATATTGTATGATTGTATGTATGTATGTATGTATGTATGTATGTGTGTATGTGTGTATGTGTGTATGTGTGTATGTGTGTATGTGTGTATGTGTGTATGTATGTATGTATGTATGTATGTATGTATGTATGTATGTATGTATGTATGTATGTATGCATTTAAAAATTTAAATATTTAAATATTTAAATATTTAAATATTTAAATATGTATCTATCTACCTACCTACCTATCTATCTATCTATGTATCTATCTATCTATCTATCTATCTACCTATCTATCTATATCTCTCTCTATCTATGTCTGTACCTATGTATCTATGTATCTATGTATCTATGTCTCTGTGTATCTGTGTATCTATGTATCTATGTATGTATCTATGTATCTATGTATCTATGTATCTATGTATCTATGTATCTATGTATCTATGTATGTAATGTATGTAATGTATGTAATGTATGTAACGTATGCATGTATGCATGTATGCATGTATGTATGGTATGAATGGTATGAATGGCATGGATGGTATGGATGGTATGTATAGTATGTATGTTATGTAATGTATGTTATGTTTGTTATGTATGTTATGTATAATATGTATGTTATGTGTGTCATGTATGTCATGTATGTCATGTATGTCACGCATGTCAAGTATGTCATGTATGTCATGTATGTCATGTATGTCATGTATGCCATGCATGTCGTGTATGTTATGTATGCTATGAATGTTATGTATGTTATGTAATGTAATATAATGTAATGTTGTGTTATGTTATGTTTTGTTATGTTATGTTTTGTTATGTCTGTCTGTCTGTATGTACGTACGTACGTAGGTCGGTCAATAGGTAGGTAGGTATGTATGTATGTATGTCTGTCTGTCTCTCTGTCTGTCTGTCTGTCTGTCTGTATGTATGTGTGTATGTGTGTATGTGTGTCTGTATGTATGTATGCATGCATGCATGCATGTATGTAGTAAAGTAAAGTAAAGTAATGTAAAGTCAAAGTAAAAGTAAAAGTAAAATTAAAAGTAATGTAATGTATGTATGTATGCATAAATGTATGGTATGGTATGGTATGGTAATGGTATGGTAATGGTATGGTAATGGTATGGCAATGGTAATGGTATGGTAATGGTAATGGTAATGGCAATGGGGTGGTAATGGTATGGTATGGTATGCTATTGCAAGGTAAGGTAATGTAATGTCATGTATGTATGCATGTATTTAGTCATTTAGTTATTTAGTTATTTAGTTTTTTAGTCATTTAGTTATTTAGTTAATTACAGTATTTACTTTATGTACATGTGTGCCACACACACACATATATATATATATATATATCCGCCGACCCCGGCAGACGCAAGGGGGAGTGCGTAAGGGAAAAAGAGTTTATGACACAGCTGCCAGGAAAGAATAATAATAATTCGCTGACCCCGGCCGATGCAAGGGGGAGCGCGTAAGGGAAGAAGAGGTGCTGCACTGCTACTTTTACTACCAGGCAGCAGCAGGCAGCAGCAGGCAGCAGGCAGCAGGCAGCAGCCAGCAGCAGCCAGCAGCAGCCCGCACCAGCCAGCAGCAGCCAGCAGCAGGCAGCAGTAGGTGTTTGGCAGGCAGCATCCGGCAGCAGCAACCAGCAGCAGCTGGCGTTAGGCAGCCAGCAGCAGCCAGCAGCAGCTAGCAGCAGCCAGCAACAGCCAGCAGCAGGCAGGAGCAGGCAGCAGCCAGCAGCAGGCAGGACCAGCAGGTAGCAGCAGGCAGCCAGCAGCAGGCAGCAGTAGGTGTCTGGCAGGCAGCATCCGGCAGCAGCAACCAGCAGCAGCCGGCGTTAGGCAGCCAGCAGCAGCCAGCAGCAGCCAGCAGCAGCCAGCAGCAGCCAGCAACAGCCAGCAGCAGGCAGGAGCAGCAGGCAGCAGCCAGCAGCAGGCAGGAGCAGCAGGCAGCAGCAGGCAGCAGGCAGCAGGATTCTATTTTAATTTTATTTTATGGCAGCAACAGCAAGAGCAACAGCAACAGCAACAACAACAACAACAACAACAACATTCTTGCAGCCATGGAACCAATAACACAAAGCTGCAGCAGCAGCAGCAGCAGCAGCAGTTGTTTCTTGCTTTGGAAGCTGTTTGATTGCAGCAGCACGACAGCAGCACCACAGCAGCAGCAGCCACCAGCAGCAGCACCAGCAGCAGGCACTAATGGGTGTCAAGAACGTGGGCAAGAGCACGCAAAAGGTGCACATAGCCAGTAGCTAGCAGCCAGCGCCAGTAGCAGCCACAGCAGCCTACCAAAAATCTAGATTTTTCTAGGATTTCAGACGACACGTTAGGCACTTTTTTGGCGTGGTTCTGGCACTCGCTCGTCCTTCAGAGCCCTGGTGTTTTCCCCCCGGAAGGTGATTTTTTCGAACCTGTTTTACTGCTAGCAGCCACCAGCAACAGAATCTGTCGAAAAATTGTGTTTTTCTAGGATGTCAGACGACACGTTAGGCACTTCTATATATCTTGTATATATGTCTATAGGGTTTCAGACGTCACGTTTGGCAATTTTCTCATTTATATGGCACCAATGGGTGTCAAGAACATGGGCAAGAGCACGCAAAAAGGCAGCAGCAGCAGCAGCAGAAGTAGCAGCAGCAGCAGCAGCAGCCGTTGTTTCTTGCTTTGGAAGCTCTTTGATTGCAGCAGCACGACAGCAGCACCACAGCAGCAGCAGCCACCAGCAGCAGCACCAGCAGGAGGCAGCAGGCCGCCGCAGGCAGCAGCAGGCAGCAGCAGACAGCAGCAAGCATCAGTAGGCAGCAGCAGACACAAGCAGACGCAGCAGCAGTAAGCGCAACGGCAGCAGTGCAGCAGCTAGCAGCACGAAAAATTGTGTTTTTCTAGGATGGCATGGGTGTCAAGAACGTGGGCAAGAGCACGCAAAAGGTGCACATAGCCAGTAGCTAGCAGCCAGCGCCAGTAGCAGCCAGCAGCCAGTAGCCAGCAGCCAGTAGCCAGCAGCCTACCAAAAATCTAATCTAGATTTTTCTAGGATTTCAGACGACACGTTAGGCACTTTTTTGGCGTGGTTCTGGCACTCGCTCGTCCTTCAGAGCCCTGGTGCTTTCCCCCCCCGGGAGGTGATTTTTTCGAACCTGTTTTACTGCTAGCAGCCGCCAGCAACAGAATCTATCGAAAAATTGTGTTTTTCTAGGGTGTCAGACGACACGTTAGGCACTTCTATATATTGTATATATTTCTATAGGGTTTCAAACGTGACGTTTGGCAGTTTTCTCGTTTATATAGCACCAATGGGTGTCAAGAACGTGGGCAAGAGCACGCAAAAGGTGCACATAGCCAGTAGCTAGCAGCCAGCGCCAGTAGCAGCCAACAGCCAGTAGCCAGCAGCCTACCCAAAATCTAGCTTTTTCTAGGATTTCAGACGACACGTTAGGCACTTTTTTGGCGTGGTTCTGGCACTCGCTCGTCCTTCAGAGCCCTGGTGTTTTCCCCCCGGGAGGTGATTTTTTCGAAACTGTTTTACTGCTAGCAGCCTCCAGCAGCAGAATCTGTCGAAAAATTGTGTTTTTCTAGGATGTCAGACGACACGTTAGGCACTTCTATATATCTTTCTTGTATATATTTCTATATGGTTTCAGACGTCACGTTTGGCAATTTTCTCATTTATATGGCACCAATGGGTGTCAAGAACATCGGCAAGAGCACGCAAAAGGGCAGCAGCAGCAGCAGCAGTTGTTTCTTGCTTTGGAAGCTCTTTGATTGCAGCAGCACGACAGCAGCACCACAGCAGCAGCAGCTACCAGCAGCAGCACCAGCAGCAGGCAGCAGGCCGCCGCAGGCAGCAGCAGGCATCAGTAGGCAGCAGCAGACACAAGCAGACGCAGCAGCAGTAAGCGCAACGGCAGCAGCAAGATTCTATTTTAATTTTATTTTATAGCAGCAACAGCAAC